TCTGAAGAAACCGTCCTTTCTTAAGAAAGAAACCTTGGAGTTGTGGTAGGTAATTTTCTGTAAACATCAGCTCAGTGTGCAGACACAGTTGAGTAGTAAATAGAACAGTAGGGATTAGTGGGAAAGGAGCATTTTAAAAAAGTATAAAGAGTGTAGTAGAGAAAAGAATGATGCCACTCTTAGTCCATGGTAGGTATGCCTTCAAAGCACTGAGGGCAGGCCTGGCTTTCTAACCTGGAAAAGAATATAATCAATAGAAAAGGTATGGAGGTGGACAATGAGAAGGATGAAGTGTAGTTTCTGTATAAAGAACAGCAAGATAAATTAAGAGTCTTTAACCCAGAGGTCTGTAAAAGCAGAAGGATATAGAGAGGGATATGGTTGTTCACTTCTTCTCCCATTCAAAAATCGATAAGCTAATTTCTGCTGTGGTATTTAAGGTACAGATGTTCTGTCATTTTACATGAAGCAATCACATTACTTGTATACTCTTTATAATGCAGACAAGGATAATAAGCTTCTGAATATTGAGCAGATATCTTCATTGTTCTGTGAGTAGTGACTAGGAATAGCTGAACGTCTTTAGTTTTGAATCTAGGGTAGAAAGGAGAAATGTCACTGGAAGAACATTGTATTCTCTACTGGCAGTGGGCGGAAGCATGGCACGTTATGGTTACTGGGAAGATGAATCTTGAAAAACGTATGGGTTTATATCTTGGCAAAAACATTCATTAATGTGAAAAAAATAGTTGAAGAGAGATGCAAAATCTGAAACTCCAGGAACCTCGCCTTTCTTTTTTAATGACCTGAGATCTTTCTTTTGTCAGCAGACAAAATAAACTACTGTCCTTTTTTTTTGGCTTTGCATGGCTCTTTACAAAGAAGCCAACTAATCAGGTAAAACACTGAAAATCCAATGTTACTCCAACAGTACTGTTCTTCAGAGGCAGAAGTGTGGGGCATCATGTTTGCTTAATACTTTGTGGTCTCAGAATTTGCCCACAAAGGGATCTTGGTTCTTATTTGTTGGAAGTCAAGGTGTAAGCAAGTACTCATCAGAAATATGATAATTTTCTGAGTGACATAGTGTACACTAATACTGGCTATGTAGTGGTTATGTAATCCTCAAGACAAAAAATGTATATAATCCTAGGAGAGCGTAATTAGCTAGCTTCTGGTACTGCATGTACCTTAGCAGATACAAGATTGTATTACTTTATCAAACAAGTCCCTCTGATTATTCTTTAAACTGAATTGAGATCCTAACGTGTTTTGGTATTATGCATTGCTGTGGTGCAACCAAAAAAAAAGAAGGCACCAATGCATTCCCTTTAATTGTCTGTGATAACCTATCAGCCTAAATGTAACTATTTTATATTAACAATTTCTCATTGTAAATCAACAGTAAAAGACTTGTTTGTACAACCTTTCAACAAGAACCAGCTTTCCTACGCTCTTTAAGACGTTTATGTTTGAACAATATTATATTCAGCACAGTTCATATTTAACGCATCAGTTCCAATTTCAGATGTCTCTCTTCCTCGTGCTCGAAGTTGGTTTCTTGAATTCCTAAAATAGCCCTTAGTTTCCCCACATTCAGTCATTTGCCTTTAGCTCCCTGGTAAGGGGATCAGCTTTGTATCCAGAGGGACAGTGTGTGTGGATCCCTCTGAAGCTCAGCTGCATCTCAGGCAGATTGGACACTCAGTTCGTTAGCTCTGTTTCACTCAGGGGCTGAGTGTGCTACCTGCAGGCATCCGATTCTTGCAGACGTATTCTTGAGGATGGGAGGACCAAATGTGCTATTTGAAGTCCTGCTGTCCTAGTTGCTGGGCCCTCAAGGCTACATTCTTATTTTCACTGTAACTGGTTTGCCACAGCAGGCAGCAGATGGCCAGGTAGAACAGGATGGTTTTTTCCCTGGTGCTCCCAATGTATAAAGAATAAATAAAAGATCTGCACTACTCCCAGACAAAGCAGGAGGAAAACAGGTGAGTGGGCCCCTTTTCCCCTCTTTTCTCTGTAAGTAGAAGAGTGCAATAGAAAAGTGGAAAAAAAAGTTGCATCTTCCTAGTCACACCTGAAGAACACAGTCCATACAGATCACTCAGAGATGGTGTGTAGGAGAAGTCATCCTAATGAAAATTCTTGAAAGGTGAGCGAGATACATCTCCCTCAAATACATAGAAGAAAAGTTAGCTGCAGCTTCTGCAACAGCAGCGGATGTTTCACCAAGAAAGAAGTGGACTGGAAGGAGAAAACAGATAAACATACAGAGAACAGCAGCAGTAAAGTAGGAAAAATGGGTTTCTGGAGATGTCTGCTAAAGGGAAATCTGTGGTTCATCTGGTAAACCAACAACAAAGAGGATGACATTTAGAGGTTCTGGAGAGTGCCAAGAAGATTAGGAGGTCTCTCATCTTGGGGAGATAAAAGTTAAATCTGTCAGTACTAATCTTCTCAACTAAATCCACGTGTGTTTTCTGAGGATGGGTAGCTTGTGTGACCACTGTTCCATGGCTAGATCACCTTTCAGAGAAAAATCTGTACTTATTTCAGTAGGATTTAGCTTAATTTGAGGTAACATAAAATAATAATATAAGGTAATATAAAATTCTTCTCTGTATAGATATTGTAATGTACAGAATATCTTTCTATGAAGTTCCTTCTCAAAATAACAGGTGTCTATGCATATGTTCGTACACGAATATTTGTGTATGTGTATATATGTGTTTAAATCAGCTACATAGGCAGCTCTCAGTATCTTTTATTTTGCAGTTTTACTTTTTCAGTATGAGTTCAAGAGTCATAAAAATACCATGCAAGTGCAATTATTTCTTTTTTTTCATATACCAAAGTTTCTGTTCTTTCAAGTAATGTACGAGCTTTATGATTAATTTTACCCTATTTTTCTCAATCACAGTTTGCCAGCATCTTTTTCATTCTGGAGAGCTGGGTGTTTAGACTGGGTGTGTTTTTAAAGATGATATATTTCTTAGAAGGTTTCTTGGGCAGACTCTAAAATGCTCGTGGGTGTTTAGTAAGGTATAAGGTATTTAAATGAGCGGTGAATACTGTCCACTGCATCACTTTGCAGCACCTCCTGACTGCCCTTACCTGTCGAACCCAGAAGTTACTGCCACTGTAGCAGAAGCAGCAGGACACAGTATGCTTTTTCACCTCATTACTCCAGTTCACTGTCCAGAGTATTAGTTAAGTCGACAATGAAGGCAACTTTGTGTGAAGCTCCCAGACTGAGAACTGGAGAAGCTAATGCTCCAGTGGACATCCTTTTCTTCTGGCTGTGCTGTGGAGGGTGGTAATGTCCAGTGCAAGGAGTTAGGCAGGCTGATAAAGGCAGCAGCGTCCTCAAATGCCACAGCTGAGTTATCCAAAAAGTGTCTGCCAGAGCATGTGCTCATGTGGAGCGTGTCTTCAGTGCGTGAGTAGATGTAATAATTTTTCCAGTGTGTCATGGTACCAACATTCAGAGAACTCAGAATCACATGGGATGTTTTTTCTTCTCCCATATGGCAATAAATGCCATGTTTTCTTTCTAGTGTCACTTATAGCTCTTTCAGCTGCACAGTTTTCCAAGTATCTCCCCCTCTCTGCTGAATCACTGCTGTATGGACAAGTGTTTCCTGGCACATGCGGTTCTGTTCTGAGCTCTGCAAACCTGTGTGCGTGCGGGAGCTTTTTGTGAGTGGATGGGGAGCTGGAAGCCAAGCGTGGCAGCAGGGCAGGGGTCTCTCCCTTCTCCAGCCCCCAAGTGAGGCCAGCAGACAACCCGTGCAAGCCAGTGCGTGTCGACTGTGGTTGTGGCACATTTGGGTGGTGTTTGTAGTTCAGTGAAGCAGGCTTCTGGGTAAGAGGAAAGGAGAATACCTACTATTTTTTTTTTAGTACTGTACGCTAGTTTTACAATGCTATGTACTAGCAGGGGAGAAGCTGATGGACATCAAGAACTTGCCCACACTCATCTGTGCACCGTTTTAATGCAATCGATCTAAAATGATAGATTTACTTGGTATCAAAGTGTTAGCATACAGTGATATCTGAGTTGGGGCCATTCACTTCCCATGCTGCCTTGCTTAAATGCACACATACTCCCTAGACAAAGGTACAATACCAGTACTATTACTGGATGCTTCCCCTTGACTGGTGTACACAATTACGTGGCCAGCCTGTGAGGGAATGCCTGTTCGTTCACTAGCTGTTGGTACTTTTGGGAGTTCAGGAATAGGGGTGACGATGAAGACATGCAGGAATTCATCCTTTCCGTCTCTCCCCAAAAGATTGACTTCATACAGTTGGTTTCTGTTTGTTGAGATAAAGATGTTATATAAAAGACGTAGGTAAATTATAACATTCATAAACAATTTGTGATACCCTAATAAGGAAGTTTGGGTCTGATTACACTAGAGTATCTCCAAATCCGCATGTAGCATGTTTTGTCCAGTTTGCATACACATAAGTGATAATAAATGGTGCAAAGAAGTGGAGATCCATCCCATTCATTTTGATTTTATAAACCAGCAGCTCTGAAAGCCCATCACAGCTTTTTAAGTAGTTGCTAGAAGAGTATGTTATTTTTAAACTTTGGAGTCCCTATAAATCACAGCATGTTTTACCTGGAGGTTCTAATTTTCTAAGTAAATGTAAAAAAGTGTTCTTCTTTCTATGGGAAATCATGATTTCCTCTTTTGTGAATAATTTTGTTAAATTAGGAAAGCCTTACAAAAAAGTCCTCTTATGATGATAGTGTGTGAAAAATGTGAAATATAATTTAGGGTTTTTTTTTTTTTAAGATGAATGACTTTTTCATTGTTTTATTGCTACTAGCAAATGCATTTCAAAATCAAAGTAACTTGTTAGAATCCACATCTTTACACTGCTACTGAAATTGTGTTTTGATTTCTTTGACATGATCCCTGATTGCTGTGAGAAGAATCAGTTCAGTATTTTTGTTCTTAGATTCCCCCTCCTTTGTCTTGCAGCTACTTGTGGCAGATTCCATTAACAATTGCAGTAGGAAATACGAGCCACATCTCATCAGAGGCAATTATATGGGTGTCTAACAAATCAGGTAAAAATAAACTTTCCTCCCAGTGGAATCTCATAAAGCATACTTGTGTTTTCCTCAACTGTTTCTTTGGAATTGATCCTAAATAATTGTTCAGTTGCTCTGCACCCAGTTTTAGCTACTTGAAATTAATTACAAAAAAAGGAGAGTTGGGAAGGGAGGGAGGAGGAATGAAGGATGAGCAACAAGCAAGGTTTATAATTATCGCAGAAGTTAGACAGTGTAATGAAAAGCTTTAACATAGAAATGTGTACCTAAGTGCTAAGTATTTTATATTTAGCAACTCATATCAAATCATTGATGAATGCAGTTCACTTTATTGATTGGTGGAAGTTAAATGTAATATTTTTATAGCAAAGAAATGATGAATATGACTTAGTAAATGCAAAATATTTAGAATTCTGGCATTTTTAACTCCAATCAATAGTCTGAACCAGGGCTAATAAATGTTTATTGTCATTAAAAAGTTTCCTTACTGATCTATCAAAGTGTTTCTTCTCTCTATTAGATAATCAGATGCTGGACCTCAAAAGTACATTATTCTGCTTACTATTTATTTTGTCACTTTTCAGTTCCTACATGATCATAATAGTTCTTGTCCTGAGGACAGCTAGGGTTAGATACCAGTGGGTTTTTTATTACCTGAAAAAGGAGTCCTGTCATAGAAATTTCATGGAATATTTCTCTATTTCCTTAGCAATTCATGCTACATCAGCTGACAGTTTTGGACTGGAATTGAAGAGAGTGAGGGAAGAAATATGGAGACTTGAATAGAATGATTATATGAAAGGGAAAAGAAGGATCCATGCATCCGCTTGACACATGGGCTGTGGAGGGAGAACTGATCCCTTGTGAAATTAGAAGGGTATAGAGATTTCCCTCTTGACAGAAATTTAACTGGAGAGAGGAAGAGGCAAACTTGTGTGAGCCTGTGTTTTTCCCTTTTTTTCTCTTTTGAAAGTCACTGAAAGATAATAGTCACATAGCGCTTAGCAGCCAGCAGGACTAGAAATGAATGGTGCACAATCAGTGGAACTCTGAGTATCCCAGCTTTCTAGTGATATAAGGTAAATGTTTCTTTGCCTTGATCGTTTGCAGCCTGTCAGAATGTACCATGTTTTACGCTGCTCCCATGATATAATGATCTAGAAATGTGCCTGAGACCAGGGCACTTTTCATACCTGGGAAATATACTCAAGTCAGAGCATACAGATGCTGCCTCACGTTGCAGAAATATATCACATTGGCCATAGTTTTTAATATTAATACCTCCAGAATACTTCAAAACCTTTGCACTTTCACAGTTTGCCTTAATGACCTGTTGTACTCTTGTCCTTTAGGGCTTGATTGAACTCTCGTTGAAGTTAATAGAAAGATTCCCACTGACTTCAGAGAGAGTTGATCATCTCATCTCATCCCATCTCATCTCATTAGGTTGTACATGCATGCCTCCTTCCCTTCACTCCTGCCTTGAAAGTTCAGTATATCACTATTATCTGCACAGTTGCTTCCTCATTGCCTTTTACTTGCAGAGTGCTGTGGAGGAACAAGTCCATAAAACCAGTACCTACTCTTTTAAGATCTACTGCTCCTATTGGAATGCCTTCAAGAAATCAACAAATTAATGATGGCCAGCGTGAGCAGTGATTTTGGGGTGGCTGCTATATAGAAACTAAAGAGGAACCTTTCTGAGTCATCAGTTTCCTGTGTAGTGAATCAATGCCACTGTGATCTATTGTCATTATCCTTGTCCTTCCTCATTACTTTCTCACTCACTCACTTGCTGTGCCTCATTGAAAATGAGACTGTAAACTTATGACTACAGCAAGGATGTCCTCTTGCTTCTACTTACTGTTGTCTAGCTCAGCTGGAGAATTCCTCAATATAAGAAGTCAGTAAGAACATCCTTGGATGTACTTAATGTATGATTCATTGTACATGCTGTTATGTATTGGGGCTGGTACAGGTGATTTTTTGATACTCCTGGAGATTTTCTGCAGCCTGGTGTGTTTGTTTCATGGGGATGTGGGAGGAATTCTGAGACTGGAAAGGACTGTTTCCAGGACTTATTCTTGTGGCTGGGAAGAGTCCTGAAGACTTCCGGTTGTGCAGGGGACACAGTTTTGGTGTGGTCCCAGTGAGTAGTTTGGGAGCAACTCTGCAAGCTGGAGATGAAAAAAGCTACTCTAGACAATATTTGGAAGATTGGGAGTGGTCACATTGTTCTTCAAATGAGTGTAACTGAATGCAGATACTCAAATCAAATTTGGAGGAAATGCTGTCCCTGAGGATGGTTTCCGTGCCCTCTTTAGGAAGGAGCAGGTGCTTCCTTCTTGTTGACTAAACTGATGTGGTTTCTTTCTTCTTTAGAAGCTTCCAGTGTAACCTGAAAAGTGGATAGCAGATGATGAACAGCTGTCTGTTGTCCATCACTTAATACTGATCATGTACCTCATTTCAGCTGCCGGTAGTGAAGAGGGTCCAAGTTAATGACTATCATTATGATATCTTGGCATATCACTTAAATTTTTCAATAACATTAAACTTGTTTGTGCATTATCTGAGAGAAATGAAACCACAGCAGTTTTGAAATGGCTACGTATATATTGCCATCAAGAAAAGATTCCTTTGATGTGGTAGTTTAAATAGGGATTTCCAAGGGGAATACACACACTGCCTTGCATTAGAGTTCACCAGGGATGGTTATTTGCCGATGGAAGAGTCTTTTCCTTCATGTACATCCAGAAGGACAAGAAAGAGAATTACTGATTTTTTGCATCCTCTTTGCTACCCTGTCTGTGACCTCATCGAGGTACTGTAGGATGCCAGTTGGCATTTTCCATAAGCAAAGGATAAGAGGCTGCTGTCCAGTCTTGTGAGAGCCACTGAATGTAGGATGCTTGTGTTACTGCTCTCTACTCATTCTGGCCATGTCTGGTTATATACTAGAGATAGTGGGGCAGATTGTTCAATATGCTGAGCAGGATTAGTTCAGATAATTGCAGATCATCCTAACTGTGGGCAATAGAGCTCATTCTGACCACTCTTCACAACACCGAGGTGAAGGGACACACTGGAAATTATAACTATGCAGTGTCTTTTTGAGATGCAATTCATTGTCCTTTGCAGCAAATCCTGTAAAGAGAACAGTGCCAGGCCTTGGCAACTTGTCTGATGAAATTCATAATCTCCAAGTTTTTTCATATTCAATGTAGCTCTTCACACCTGTTTATGGAAAGTACGTTGTCATAGTTTTGGAAGGTTTTCATTTGGAAGTGCTTCTGCCAGTCTCTCTTCTCCTTACCCAGTGAGCATTTATGTAACCATTTTTCTACTCATCAGTTCATATACCTGCCAGCCATCAGATGACCCTTTTACTGACTCAGTTCGTCTGGGTTTGTGAAATGGAGCTGTCTCTCTTGCTCTGAGTGCTGCACACCTGTCACCACCACCTTTTTCCCTGTTCCCTCCCCATAGCCATGGATGAGGCTGTTCTGCTTCAGACGAGTGACAGCTATTGAACCTCATAAACTAAACTCTTCACAAAGGAGTCATCTCATGATTAGCCTTCCTATCCACAGTCACACTAAGATGGCTGCAATGCTCTTTGTGCTACAGTCTTGCAGGTCTACTGAATGATCGATTTCACTGGCACTGTGGAAGTCATTGGTGTTAGAAACTTCTGCTTTGTCATAGATCCAGGGCTTCTTTCTGTTTCTCCTCGATAAGTTGCCTCTTTTGTGGTTGCTGTAATGAGGTATGAACATAATGTCCACAGTGTTGTGGGATCAGCCCAAAATCAGTAGTGGGAGAAAGTCAAGGACAAGCTTTGAACTCAGCCCGTCCCCACAAGATAACCGCTTAGCAGGGCTTGTGGGAAGGTGTTGGTGATTGCTGCTGAAGGTATACTAAGTGCGGAAGCACAGGCTCACCTGTCACGTTTCTGCAAATCCAGGAGAAGTGACCTTAACCTGAAGTGAGGAGATTTAGCTAGGATACGTTTCAAACAGGTGAGCAGGGCTTTGGACAAAGGCATACTTGCTGTTCCCTGAGCATGATTGTTCTGGCGCTCAGGCTTTAGGTAGGAAACATCTCCATGTGACTCAGCAAGTGCTGCTGATCTGACTGACGCAGCTTTACAGTCTGCCTCCCTGCCTTTTCCATCCTGACCTCCTGTACGCTGACTGATTTGTTATGTCCCAGGGAAGTAGTCCTCTGATGGAACTCCCTGCCTCTGGTAAAGTGACTCTCATTCAGACTCCTCTTAGTATCTCCACAGGATTGCCATGAGATGGGAGAAAGAAAGTTCAACAGGGCAATTGCCTTCCAAACAGCAAGTCCCAACTTACTATATTATGTCACCTCCTACTAGATAATCTCTGCTTTAACTGTAAGCCCCTTGACAGTCTGATGCTCCTCCATGAAGTGTTTTGTAGGACGCAGCTGCTTCTGAGCTGGGGTTTGCTGGCTGCCCACTGAGGAATGGAGCATTAGTGCAGCATTAGAAAATACCCTTTCTTTTCCTTTCTGAGACTCAGCTGCTGAGCTTGACCTGCGTTGCTTCCAGACTTCACTCTTTTATTTTTCAAAAGCAGGAGGAAGGGAAGCGCTGTGAAGTAACATAAATATATAGGTCCTGCTTTACAACTTTAACCAGCCATAATGAGGACCAGGGACACAAGATCTGAAATCCTGGCACAGTTTTGACAGAGTGAAGCAGAATCACTCCCCTTATCCCAACAGCTGGGCAAAGATCCTAACGGAAGACTGTTGCTTTTACATCTTGTATCACCTTAGATGTTGGCAGTTTCGTTGCATAGGAATGTTAATGGATGGAAGGATAGTCTGAGGAAAGGGTATGTAAGGCAAAACATGATCATGTTTACTGATGTGCTCCATTTATAGTGTTGTTCACTATACCAAAACGTGTTTTTTCAACATGGAGCTATGTCAAGATGGCAAGTGAGATGGAAAGAACTTTTTCTTCTGGTTTGCCTTCTCCCTGTATGAAAAGTTTTTGCAAAAATAAATTCAGAATTTATTTAAAGCCAGTATATTTTTGCAAAATCTGTAATTGTGATAAAATTCCTCATGGAACATTTTCTTTGTTAGAAACATTTCACTTACTGTTGTTGGCATGAAATTGTGCTACTCTTGTGCAGTTATTTTTGCAGGAACATGGAGTCAGTTCTCCCAGTAGGGATTCTACCAGCATAAACCAATTTTCTAGTACGCTGGGGGTTGTGTAAAATGAAGAGTTAAAATAAAATAACAACTGTGAGTCTGAACACTTGAAACGGTAGTAAAACTGTATAGCCCACGCTTTTGTCAGCGTTGGAGTAGTATATTGCAGTGGGGTGCCCTTCTCCCAGACCTGCCTCACAAGGTGCTTATGTTGCCATGCGGAGGAGCAGGCTTCCATCGTTCTTGCTTGTTCTGATGAAGTTGCTCAAGAGCTGGGAGAGCTCAGAACTTCCAGCCACGTGCACTTAGCACAAGCTGGAGGACTGTGTTACACTTCCAGAGCAGAGAAAATGAAAATCAGACCCTAACTGATTTTCTGACTTGAAAACAAATGCCATAAAATTTAACCATTTCCTCCTAAATGTCATCTATATGTATGTGGCAAAACTGGAAGTTTCAGAGCAGTGTTATTTTCTGAAGCATCCAGACAAAACATGACCATGGAAAAACACTTTCTGATGGAGGAAGATTAAAAAGGTTTCCCTTTAATCTGAAATACAACTGTATATGTATTTTAGATTGAATTTTAAGAGGTGAACTAAAACCATCGAAGATAGTTTTCTTCCCAAATCAAATCTTTGCTGTTGTTTAGAAAGTCATGAGTGCTTTAATATAGGGTTTAACCCTGAATGACTACCTTTTCCCTAACTATAATACTTTTAACAGGAAACTAATAAATGTGTTTATGGTAAGTGGAGAAATTGCCCAGATGTATAGAAATTTTCGGTGCTGTAATCACCAAAAGAAAGAATTTCTTTTATAGGAAGTCATGAGAATTGACAGACTCAAAAGTCAAATTCAGTAAATTATATAGAACTATGTGAAGCACATGCATCAGGCAGTCCCTTAAAATAACCACCTGCTTATATGAGCTGGAAAGGCATGAAAGATTTCTGTCCTGTATTTCAGGAGAAGGTCAACACATGAGTGGTCTTACTGAAAAATAATAGCAAGGGGTTATGGTTGGATTTAAACTGACCAAAACAGCAATAATGCCATTGAGCTTTGAAAAGATACTGTTCTCCATTAAAGCAATATGTGTTGGAGGTGTTGCACAGCTGTTACTTGTGAAATAGGTTATTTTGAACTTGTCATGTTTGAGTGGCAAGTATCATTCAGTATTCTATTAAAGCACAAGTAATTTCCTTGCTTCGGGGATCAAAATTTAATACAAATACTGAAACAAGAAAAAATGCATGTAGTTTTTTTATGACATTGAATTTTGAAAATTTCCATTTAATGTATTTATTTACCCAGATATTGATTAATGTGTGCTCATAGCCCATTTTGTACACTTTTAGGTATCATAGAGGTGGAGGGATTAACCAGTTACAAGTAGCTACTCTCAGCGATGGTGGCTTTTAAAGGTTAGTTTGCAACAGAAAAGCATGGGCAGAAAGCACTACTGCATTAAGGTGGTAGGCTTTTCTGCCAGGCGTGAGCAGCATGCTCCTGACCCCACATGGCACTACGCCCCTGAAAACCCAGAGAAACTCTAAAAGTTGTTGTTTCCCTCACCAGTCTTTCCTGGATACAGAAGTGGGTATTTTTGCTGTTGCTCTTAAGAAACACATGAGGTTGATAAGAAACGTAGCTGAGATTTAGGGGTGACTATTCACAGCACCACACTGAGTAAACTGAATAGGATGGGGTAGATCCAGATTCAAATTCCTTCTCTTCCTGTTTTACAGCAGATATTTGATCCAAATCTATTCTAAGAAAGTGCCTTTATCACGGTGCTGAAAATTATTAGGGGCTTTTACAGTATTTCTATAGTAATGTTTTTCTTTGTATAAGATTCAGTGATTTACACAGGAACTAGGATTCAAGACTTCTGTAGTAAGCTGGAGCAACTAGGTGATTCTGACTTCAGGTCCAGTGAAAAAAGGATTTAAACAGAAGAGCAACCTCAGTATGGCAGTCTAAGAGACTTTGGTGAGGACTGAGCTATATATAGCCCAGTGTTTAACAGACCTCTATGGAAGGAAGGTCTCCCGGTGTTAAAATCTTGTTCCAAAACAGATTGTGTGGCAAAAGCAGCTTAGGTGCTCTGACAATAAGAATGCCTGGGAAGCCCATAGAGTAGTAGGACTTAATTCTAGTTTTCTCAGTCCCATTTCTGCAGGATATGTTGGCTCCTAAAGAATGTGTCTGCTTGGCACTTTATCACAGAATCACAGAATGTTAGGGGTTGGAAGGGACCTCAAAAGATCATCTAGTCCAACCCCGCTGCCAGAGCAGGACCACCTAGAGCAGATCACCCAGGAACGTGTTCAGGTGGGTTTTGAATGTCTCTAGAAAAGGAGACTCCACAACCTCTCTGGGCAGCCTGTTCCAGTGCTCTGTCACCCTCACACTGAAAAAGTTTTTCCTTATGTTAATGTGGAACCTCCTGTGCTCCAGCTTGCACCCGTTGCCCCTTGTCCTATCATTGGCCATCACCGAGAAGAGCCTGGCTGCATCCTCCTGACACTCGCCCTTTACGTATTTATAAACATTAATGAGGTCACCCCTCAGTCTCCTCCAAGCTAGAGACTCAGCTCCCTCAGCTTTTCATCATAAGGCAAGATGGATGTAATCAATATTTCAACTCAAACTACGGGCATGTATTTTTTGTCTTAATTTTTTATATGGAATAATTAAAGTGTACTGGTGCAAGTCAGTTAGGCAAACCCTGAAAGAGCAGTAACAATTGAATTTAATAGGCAACAACTGAGTTACTCTGGGCTTAGTATTTCCAAGAAGTGTATTTTTAAGATATTTTAATGATGTCAGAACTGCCTAGGTGAGAAGAGGACTTTCTTTTTAATCTTCAGCTTTTTATCTGAATTTATGTGCGTAACGCAACTCCATGAATTTAAAGTTAAACGTATAATAAGGTGGTTTTTTAGAACTGAGGTCTTACTGTTCTTTGTATTTTTTGCACCATAAATGATAGTTATTCTTGTGTTTGCTAGAGATATTTAGTCAAGGGAGAAGCATAACTTTTATCTGTAGTCCTAGTCATCTATTATTTCCTCAGAAATTACTTTTTTATAAGAAAGGCTGAAACAAATCAATTCTTTAGTAAGTCTAGGTACCAGGTAGTATGTGTGAATTGTTAAGACCGTATTGTTAACTTTTTTTTCCCCATTTGTTATTTTCAAGGAAATCAAGCACACCAAACAATTCCCTGATGCAATTATGTTTAAAACAAATTTTATGTATTTCTTTTTTATTTTTAAAAATGCACAAGATGACTGTTCCTTTTGTCAACAGTATGCAAACTAAATTTATTATAGTAGAAAAAAAATGTTGCTGATTTTTTTTTAGTGAGTTCTGGTTCATGATCAGCTTTGTTAGAATAATTTACTAGATTGAAGGCTTCTTCAAGAGACATTGAAGCCTGAGGCTTCATTTCATGATGATTCTTTCTGTAGTGGAAGAAGTGTATGTTGTGAGTTCAGGGCATTTTTGTTGTTGAAATTCCTAATCTTGCGAATAGTTGTGGACTGCCTGACTGTACAAATACTGGAATAAATTTAGACTTTCAGTCCCAAAGTGCGTACTTAAAGAGAGAGGAAAGAGGAAGAACAGGTTAGTTAATAGAAGGTTTGATTGGTCTAGCTCTAAAGGGGAGCCTCTCAGTGGTTAGTAGCTAGAAGCTGTACGACTGGAAATACTTAAATTTAAAATCCAATATAAAAGCTTCATCGACTACAGGAAGAAACACTTAAGATTTTTTTTATTTTTTTTTTTTTTTAATCACAGATTTAGTCTTCTCTCTGTAGCACATTCATTGAATTATTGGAGTTATGGTTATAGAGAGCTATTTTAGCACGGCCAGAGTTGGGGAACAAGGCTTAAAATGCACACCTCTCTCAAATAGTATTTGCCAGAAGGAAACCACTCTTGGAGTTCTGTGTGGGTGAAAGGTCCCCATAGGAATATCAGCTGGCGTCCCTCTATTTCAGAACAGATAAAGGAAATTATTAATCAAACATAATGTTTTTGTTAGTCTTTGGATTAATTTTGCTGCCTTCACGGATATTTAAAGAAGGAAAGAGTTTAACAGATATATCTGTAAAATTTTTAGGTTTAAAACCAAGCCCCCTTCCCATCTTGTTCTTTGTTTCCAGAACACCACAGAATTCCTGCTTTGGAAGAGGCAAGTTGGTTGCTGGGGAACATCAACCAGACTGGCTACTTTAGAGTTAATTATGATACTAGGAATTGGAAGCTGATAATTAATCAGCTAACAAGGAACCATGAGGTAAGCTCATCTTCTCATCCCTAAAATCTGCTTTGATAGGTGAATCTTCAATGTTTCATCACCCTAAATGGTTCCATTTTTGTGCTTGCCCCTTATAGGTTATCTCTGTCAGTAATCGAGCAGGCTTGATCGATGATGCGTTCAATCTAGCCAGGTATGTTTTCCTGAAGATAATCTATCCTCATACACATTGCTGCAATAACTCATGCAACCAGTAACTCAGCAGTGGAGTGTGTGTCAAAGTTAGATGTGTTTTAAACACACTTTAGTTCCTTTCCCCCCCTTTTTTTTTTTTTTTTTTTTTTTTTTTTTTTGTATGCCACATAAACATAGTCTGTAGCACATTCGCGGCTTTTGATCAATAATTGCTGTAGGGTATTTCTGAGTTTGGAGAGGTCTGATCAATTTTGCAGCAAGTTCAATTTAACACTTTGGAGATAAATAATCTCTTTCCTCTTTCTCTAATGAATGGGGTTTTTTTTTTCCCTTCTCTTTCTCCCTAATACCCCGCCTCCCCTGTTTTTTATAACTGACCCTTGTACTGTATTTAATTTGTGATGGAAGGCACCTTCAAGCTTCAGTAATTTTTTTTGTCCTGACTTGTGCTGTTATATCATTTTCCCAATATCTTTCTTTTCTTATAATCTGCTAGAAAAGACTCTTTTTCTGCATGATGCTTTTCACGCAGAATGGAAAATAAGCGTTCCATTGAGCATTTCTGGAATTTATACATTTTGTGTTTTACTATGATCACAGTTAATAATTAATGCATATAATGCTGCTTAGGTAATGCCTTCTTTATGAATTGAGGCAATCGAATTGTCCTCATTTTGAAATCAGGACATCCAGTATGTTGATAGTGGAAGTCTAAAATGAGAGGAAAGTAATGGAACATCTCAAACTTTTTGATTCTTGAGGTACCTGGGAACATTACATTAGTGAAACACTGGGATGTCAAAGGCTGCGTGAAAAGAATTCCTGATACTCCTGGCTTTTCTGTTTGCTAGCACATTTATAGCCATATTTGAGCAGGGGCTTGCAAGAATCAGCAGTACTGAGATACATTTCACTACAAATGGTTGCAGGAGATGTTTGAGATTCAGGCACACTGTCACACAGAAATTATGGCTCAGTTATGTTCCAGCATCACTGCAGTAAAACACAGTTGTGTGCCCTACCATTCTGTGGCTGCTGCCAGTGCTAGACTGATTATATGACATAAACTAGTGATTAGCCCTTACTTAACAGTCCAGAGATGTAATGGGGAAGGAGGCATCATAGGGAGAGAAGGAGTATCCATTTGCTTTTTGCACTGCCCTTCATTCTTGCCTTGTGGCATCTTCCCATTGCCAACAGTAAAGGACTAGAAGTAGATCATCACTTCAGACCTCAGTGGACCATGATCTGGGTACTCTCTGGCTAGTAGAATACTGCAAAGTATTCTGAAATATCTAGACTGTTAGAAGAACTACTAAGTGTTCAGTAACGTAACAGTCTATTCCAATTTTATTTGGTTTTGGCACCTCGGAGAAGTAGCGTGCAGTTACACAGAATCAGTGCGATGCTTTCTTCTTTTTCCATGCACTGAATGCAGTCAGAGGTGGCTAGGCTTTCCTGAAAAATCCAGACTCTGAAAAAAGCTGTTTCTTAAGCCGGTTCTTGTAGGTGAGTGTTCTTCTTACGAGTCAGTACTGAGCCAGTGCTCTAGGATGTGTTGTTCATGAAGCTTAAAAGCAAGCTCTTGATTAAATGCCCAACCTACATTGTCTGGCCAAGTTTTGTCTACCTAAAAACCACCCAGAGATTAGATGAATAATGCATTCCCCAACTTGCTTTCAAAAGCAGTTTTATAGTGATACTGGTTCCTGCTGCTTTTTTGGAGGTAACAATGCTAGAGCGCTGTGAAGTCTTTCACAAGTTTTCACATTGTGAAAACTTGACTTTTATTAATGATGAGCTGCCATGGACTGCTGCTGCATTTGCTACTCATGCACCATGGAAAAAAAGTAGTGGAGCTAAATACTTAAGAGTGTGTACACACGTGCATACATAGATATTACTTGAAGGAAATACTCTTCCAACAGGGTTACATATCTAGATTCCAGTTTCTTTAAAATCTCTGCACAGACTCCTGTCAGTAGTATTACCTTGAGTACGTGCCTTACAAGCCAGTCTGGGTGGAGGAAAGATCTGCATGTTTGCAAACAGTAGATTTATGCTTTGTATTTCAAGACTAGCAATAAGATATGTGGACCTGGCTAAACTTGCCATGTAGGGTATACTTTTTGTTGATCTTCTTTTACTTTATTCATCTATCATCTTTCTTACTAAAAAAACCCCAAACAATTATAGTGATGCTGAAGTTAGTCTAATTAGCTAGCTGACTATATGGTACCTTTTTAAAAAGAGTTTGGTATTTTTTGTTTTAATTTCCTCTATCCCAGACAAAGAAAGACTAGGAACAGGCCTAATCCTTCCTCTGTTGCTTTATCATTAGTAGGGCTAGAGAGGCTTTTAGAGACTGTTAGAAGAGAAATGTGTTGGGGGCGGGCCTGGACAGCAAAGTGCCTGAACTGGGGTTACAAAAGCAGATGGAAAAGCTATTGCTGGGACAAGCAATGGGGAATTGCACACTGATGCTACTGTGCAGCACAGCTGCCCCTGCTGTGTTGGGTGCTCCAACATGACACAGCAGTGTTCCTAAAACAAGCTCCGAGGGCTATCAAAATCACACAGACCCTTTCAGTTCCCTCAAAAAGTTGGTGGTCAGAAGGCCACCATCAGCCTAAAAGCAGCTTATCTTTCACCCCCCTTGGCTGCGAGCCGCAGTGCAGAAAGTCGCCTCGCTTTGTTTTGGAGCAGTACCATGGTTTGGATGTTACCTGCCTCGTGGATGCGGTGCTGATTCAGTCTCGTCTCTGATGCACAGCATGTGTTTCTCCCTGCCCATATAATGTTGCCTGATGGGGAGATTAAATGCATACGATTGTCTCTGACTGTGGCATGAGAGAAGGTGAGTAACCTTATTGACCAGGCAGAGGGGTAGTAATTGGTTGTTTAGACCTGACTTCTGAGAAGGCTGACTGTTTTAAAGGGTAATTCAGTCTCAGTTGTGGTCCCTAGTTGCACTGATGTGTTATCTTCTTGTCTACAACCATAAACATACACGTTTTGAGAGAGAGAAGCCAACTGTGGAATACATACTTTTATTTTAATCCCTAGCTATTATTTTCAGTGATAAAATAGAACAAAATTGAAAGCATAACTTCTTAAATTCATGCTGGTCCTTTTTTAAAAAAAATCTAACATAAACAGTTCTTTTTACTGTACTGAAGAGACTGTATTTCTTCAAAATACACTGTCCTTTTTAGAATCTTCTGAAATAGTCCCTAGGGTGTTGTTGAGCTTGATACACATAGTGTTCATTCCACACCAGAAAGACTTGACTTAATTTTTCCACTGTCCTAATATGGTATGCCCTAACATGATATTTCTGTGTACTTTTACTGCTAATGGATTGTATTTGTGGAACAAGTACAGCTCTTATCTTCAGTAAAATTTAATAATATTTCAGTCTGGAGAAAGATGAAAAAATTGATCATATAAATTATTTTGGAGCACCACATTTTGGTTTAGTTTGTTGGGTTTTTTTTTTTTAAAAAGGTGTGTTTGATTTCCTTCCTCCAAAACGTTTATTATCCTTTTACTGTCAGCATAGTGATTTCTCAAAAATAAACAGCATAAATGAATTGATACCTCCAAGGAATATTTTAAGCTCTATAACTTTAATTTCATAAAGTTTTGCCCATTTTATATGGAAATATATTCCTTCTTCTTCCTCCTCAGCGTATTTTGGTTCCATAAAATTAATCAGGCAGAGTTGAATGGAATAATAACAGTAAAAGAAAGCTACAGCTTGCCTACTGTGTTTGAATTCTCACAAGCTTGTTTGTTTTTTAAGCGTAATTCTGTTCTCAGCTGTAGTACACGCGCACACCCTGAGGATCTGCAGAGCTGTAGCCTTGGCAGTAACATAGCTAATGGAAATACATGCCCCAGATTCTTGAGCAAGAATAGCACCTTGGTACACTCTCTTCTCTTCTTCTTGAAGATCTTTTATCTTTTGGGGATGTTTTTGTATGAAATTTCAGTACAATTTGAAAATATGTTGATTGTTGTAAATGGGATGTGTTGACTGAGAAAGCTGAGAGAAGACAAATAAACTGTGGTTCTCTTCCAAGCTTAAACTGAGCAGAGGGCAGCACACCTCCATTTAGTGTCACAGGAGATAAGAAGTATTCTACTGTTTCTTGAGAGTGTGAGTGATGTCCGTTTCTCCTGTCTTTCTCCTTCCTTAGGATAAGGGGTCAGTTAGTGAGTATGTGAGATGGGATGCCTCCCACTTTACTTTAGGCATCCCAAAGGTAGGCCTGTAAATCTGTCACCTTGCAGTGCACTGGCAATTAATGGACAGAAACGTGCACCTGACCTCTCAAAGCCACTTAACCACATAAGATAAGATAAATTACCCTCCTAATGCAAGGAGTGTTGTGTCACCCCTAGTTCTTCCTTACTGAGCTCTAAATCTTCATATTCACTTACCCTCATTAAACTGGTTGACAGTACAATATTATGTGGAAGTAGTAGGTCTGGTTTGTATTCAGCGTTAATCAGTGTTGGATCAGGTGTGACTATGAATACGTATTTTACTGTCCTCTTAAATAGTTACTGTTCTTTCTAGTTCTGGAAGAACCCATCACTTTTGTCTCTTGAAACCTAATATGCGTCCTGTTTGGTCCTGCCTGCACCACAGTCAGCTCACTGTTAAGGTGGCAGGTGCTTGTTTTGCATGCCAGTTGCTCAGAAAAACGTTTTTATGCTGACGATCTGTCTGGCTATCGATTAATAGCTTGTCTTCTGTGCTGCGGTTGAAGAGATAGTGGTGGAGTTCCTCAGATTCTCAGATCTCCCCGAAGCTTCCCTTTCGGGTGGGTCATAGGCCTAGTGACAGCGAAGTGCATGTCAAGACTACAGTTGTTGGTTACCCATTCACAAAGGTGAAAGATAAAAACTTGACAGTACTTTTTGCATATTTCTTAGCAGCATTTCATTGATGTTTTGTCCTGGTTTGGGCTAAATCAGAACTAATTCTGT